TTCAAGAATGTTTTGAAATTTTGGACTCGATAGGCAAAGATAAATAATTTTGTCCATCTATTGAAAAACCTTTAGAACTTAAGTTGAAATTACTTCCTGAACATTTAAAATATGCCTTTTTAGAAGATTCCACTACTTTACATGTTATAATTTCCTCGAAGTTCACAAAGTAAGAAGAAGAAAAGCGGATGAAAATTCTGAAAAATTTTAATAAAGCCTTCGAATGGACAATTGCTGATATTGAAGGAAACAGTCCTTCAATTTGTATGCATAGAATTAATCTAGAAGAAAATTACAAACCCAAGGCTGATCCATAAGGGAGATTAAATCTTGTTATGAAAGAGGTTGTTAAGAAAGAAAATTTAAAGTGGTTAGATGCTGGAATTATCTAACCTATTTCAGATAGTGCATGGGTTAGTCCAATTCATTATGTTCCTAAGAAAGGTGGAGTAACTGTAACTGTAACTGTCAATGAGCATAATGAGTTAATACCCACTAGATAAGTTACAGGGTGGTGAATATGCATTGATTATAGAAAATTAAATCTTGCCTCTAGAAAAGATCATTTTCCACTACCCTTTCTTCCTCACTAAATTCATAGACCCTATTTCAGACTAGCTGGGCATAAATACTTTTATTTTTTGGATGGATATACCGGTTATCACCAAATTCAAATATCTCCTGAGGATCAAGATAAAATAACATTTACCACTCCTTATAGTACTTCTACTATTAGAAGAATGTCTTTTGGTTTATGTAATGCTACCACATTTTAAAGATGTATGAAGGTATTTTTTTGTGATTTAATTGAAAAGGGATTGAAGTCTTTATGGATGACTTTTCAGTGTTTGGAACTTCATTTGACTCATGATTAGAACATTTATGTTCTTAAGCACTGTGAAGAAAAAAATTTAGTCATTAACTGGGAAAAATACCAATTTATGGTAGCAGGAGGAATTGTATTAGGTCATCAAATATCAGAAAATGGTATGAAAGTAGATCCTGCTAAAATTCAAGTGATCGCTAATTTACTTTATCCAACAAATTTAAGAGAAATTAGGAGTTTTTTAGGACATGATGGATTCTTCAGGCGATATATTAAGGACTTTTCTAAGATTGCTAAGCCTTTATGCCATTTACTGGAGAAAGATG